ACACACACACACACACACACACACACACACACACACACACACACCAAGAACACACACCTGAAACCTACTGGAAAATCAAATATTAACTGCTTGTACATGAAAGGAAACATTACAATTTCATCTAATTTAGCAGTTTTTGAATTTCCATTGACAGTGGTAGTGATGAGAAGAACTGTCAATCAATTTAATTGGGAAAAGGAACTAAATTTGCTTGGGATTCTGTTTCTAAATTGAGTGATTATACATTGATATTATATCCACAGGGTCTGCACAGGTCTCTCTACAATACAGGAGTTAAGCTAATAGTATCTGTTTATATTCTCATGTGTCCCAGGAATTTGTGAATTGTAACAGGATTTGTCTCTATATCACTTAAGTAGGCATGCACTCTTGTCCATTGCAACCTATGAGAGCCATCAACAACCCATGTTGATGACACAATTTAGTATGCAGAAAACGGTCACAAAGTCAGCAGATGAGTCACAGAACGTTCCTGCTCCAACTTTTAGGATTCCCACAAGAAGACCATGCATACTACACATCTGGCACATACAAGCAGAGACCCTAGGTCAGACCCATTCACATGCTTGGTGGTCAGTAAAGTCTTTTGTGTGAGAATTGTCTAATTTATTTATGCAGCAAGTAGTGCTATGAACTTTCCTCTTATCACTCCTTTCATAGTGTCACAGTGTTTGGATGTGTTGTGCCTTCATTGTTATTGAATGCTTGACGTCTCTCATTTCTTTCTCTATTTCTTCCTTGACCCAGGAGTCAGTCAGGAGGAATTGGTTTAGTTACCATGAGTTTGTAGGCTTTCTGTTTTTCGGTAGTTGTTGATGTCCAACTTGAATCCATGGTAGGTCCCAGGGAGTTATTTTAATTTTCTTGTTGCCATGGAGACTTGCTGTGTGATGGAGACTGTGGGACAGATGCAAAGGGGAAACAGCAGGGAGGTCCCCGCCTCTGTCTGGAGTTTATTCACTTTGCTATCCACACATAACAGGGCTGACTGAGTGACACCTGTCAGAGACATGAATGGTCACCAAAGGACTCAAAGCAGAAATGACTCCAAATCAGCAGCTCCCTTCATTTAGTTGCTCTAAATGAAGTCATTTCCCTGCAGATGGCACAGAAACAGAAAAGTCATAGTCCATGAGAACTTGTTTCTGTAATTAAGTAATCACTTAAACAATTACATCACAACTCCCCTTTCTAATCCAGGGGTGACTATTCCAAGAGTCCTTCTCTTGAGATTGATCCCACTACCACCAGGAAAGTCCTGCATCCTCAGAAAATTGGAGAGATGGGACTACATTAAAACCATGGCACTGAAGACCAGGTAGCAGACTCATTTCCTTCCTGTGGTAATCACACACAAGGAACCCATATATAGTTTGATGAAAACTAATGGCACAAATGCAAAGGATGTTAACTAACACAGCTCATATACAAACATATGCCATATATGTAAAAGCATTTTGTGATGTGTTTAGTATATCACAAGGAATACCCTCTGTACTGTTAATGTTTATTTAACACACACACACACATATATATATAATATATATATGATATATATATACATATACATATATACATATACATATATATATATATATATATCATGTATAGTATAATGAGGATAAAAATTGTGTCTCGTGCATGTTAAACTTTCCCATCATGCTGTCTCCATCCCAGTTTCAAAGCTATAATTTAATGTATACTTCACTATTCATCCATCTTTACATTAGTTCCCATTGAATTTTCAAATTGTCAAGTTTAATTTTTAAACTTCTATGAACTTAATGTATAATATCTGGTAAGATAAGCAGTGAAGAGTTCATGTATAAAAAGAAAAAATAAGTTAAGGATGTTGAATCTTTTTATAAACAAATCATGAAAAATATTTTAATGATATCATCGTCCTCACTGGTTCATTTTCTCTCAGAAATTTGCACCATTACCTGCTGGCTCTAAGGCTCTCACACATCAGAGAATAATATATATCAGGAAGATATGCAAATACTGCCTCCCTCTGCTCATAAAACCAGCCCTGGCCTCACCCCGCAGGTCAGGCAGAGGATTCTAGCCCTGTCTTCCCACTCAGTGAAAACACGACAATCAACATGGGGTTGGGGCTGCACTGGGTTTTCTTTGTTGCTCTTTTAAAAGGTAGATAACACGGGATGCTGAGTGTGTGAGGAGACATGAGTGAGAGAGACAGTAGACTTTGTGACAGTTTCTTCATCAGGATCCTCTCTGTTTGCAGGTGTCCACTGTGAGGTGCAGCTGGTTGAGTCTGGTGGAGGATTGGTGAAGCCTGCAGGGTCACTGAAACTCTCCTGTGTGGCCTCTGGATTCACATTCAGTAACTATTTCATGAACTGGGTTCGTCAGGCTCCAGGGAAGGGACTGGAGTGGGTTGCTCAAATAGAGACTAAAAGTTATAATTATGCAACCTATTACGCGGATTCGGTGAAAGACAGATTCACCATCTCCAGAGATGATACCCAAAGCATGGCCTACCTGCAAATGAACAACCTGAGAACTGAGGCCACTGATATTTATTACTGTGCAAGCAACACAGTGAGGAGTCTTCAGTGTGAGCCCAGACAAAAACCTTCCTGCCGGGTTCCCATGACCAGCAGGGGGCGCTCAGCACACATAAAGCCCAGGTTCAGGCATAATAGATTATTTTTTCCTGTTATCAGGGTGTCCTCTCCATCTGCTGGTTTTCTTGGGGATCCTTTTATAATTATAAACTCAGGAATTGATCAGCGCCTCTAAAAATTATGACTTCTGCTTCGACGAACATTCTTAAAAAAAAAATGTCACACAGTCCTCCCTGAAGAAAATGCAGAAAGTGTCTATGAGGGAAGAGTGATTCTCTGTGGTCACCAGGATGGGCTGCTGGGGAAGCTCAGGAACCTCAGGTGGACTTTTCCCTCATACTGAAGTTACGGCCGACCCTCAGCTGGAATAGTCTTAATAATTCTGAGGGAACCAAGTTGAAGGGGAGCCAGGCTCAGTCACACGAAGCACCTTGAATTGTCCAACCCCCTCTCCTCTTCTGGAGGGCTGTACACATGAGGGTAAGAGGTGAAAGAATTGAATTTAATTAAAATATTTCCATTACTGCATTCATCACGGCATCTTCTGCCCTGTGTTGAATTAGATAATTCTAGTTCTGACAACTGTGTACTTACCACAGAGCTCAGCTGCTCCTCTGGAGCTAAGGAATGGCTAACCCTGTGGTCAGGGTGGTGTCCTTTCTGTGTTCTTGTAATATGGGATGAGTGGGGATCCCTGCAGCTCTGTTTCCTTCTCAGGAACTTTGACTGAAAAGGAGGGTAAGGGCTATGAAGTGTTGACTCCGGTTAGGATGGCTGTGTGTATGACGGAAACAGCCCTCTGGGAGAAAGACTGTATGATGGGAACAAACACTAATTTGCATCAATATCACCACCCTGTTTTTGGGCTACTAGCACAAGTCTTAGTTATCATATGAGCAGCAAGAGAGCCTTCCTGCCAGAATCTGTGCCATGGGTCAGGCGCCTTGCTTAGAAACAGCTCTTGGATAAGGTAACTCCTCAGAGTTCATCAATGTTCACCAGATAATGGCAGATAGAGAAGAGGTAATTGCATTGCAGAGGGAAGGAACCTCCATGTGGCTGAGCTTTTGGGAAAGGCAGCTGGTCCATGGAAGTCTGCAACCTTGATGAGGCAGCAAAGCCTTCCAACAGATCCCAGTGGGAATCAGTAATGGACAGGAGTGACCTGCTGCCCAGTACCAAGAATCTTGACCATAATGCAACCAAGAACTAGAGACAGCCACATCCTGAAGGCAAGACTGCCAGGTCATCACTGTCACACACACTCCTTATAGACCAGAATCCTGGATATGCATAACTGTAATTTTAATATATTAAGAATGATTATGAAGACACTGACTGGGAACTTCTAATCTCTCCTCATCGATCTCCAAGAGACACAAAACAAACTTCCAAAGAGTGCAATCAGACATTCTGTTTTCATGATGTTAGCTGAGCAGAGGCTCCTGAGAGGAGATGCTCACCTTTCCTATCGTAGGGGTTTGGGCAGATCAGATGGGACATGTATTCTGGCACTTGGGACTCTCAGAATACTCCCGAGCCAAGGAATAGCACAGGTCATAGTAAACATAGCAGCTTACAGCCCTGCTCCAGGGAAGGCTGCCCTGGTGTATCAGCTCTGCTCAGGCAGGAGAGGGCTTCCCCAGCGAAGTTGTTACAGTTCAGCTCTGCTCCCCGGGAGCAACTGTATGGTGAATTAAAATTCTGCTGTACTGTTGGTGCCTAGTCCAACTTACATCAGAGATGCTTCATCCACTAACTTATGGAACCAGATGCAGACCCACTGAGCATCCAACACAAGAGGGGGAGAAAGAAACGTTGAAGCCAGAGGGGTCAACTCACAGAATCAACTAACTGGGATCATGGGGTCTCACAGAGCCTGAACAGGCAACCAGGGAGCCTGCAAGGAAATGACCAAGGCTCTCTGCATATATGTGACAGCTGTGTACCTTGGTCCTCTTGTTCACTCCTCACAGTAGGAACAGGGGTGGTCTCCAGCTCCTTTATGGGCTTTGGGGACTCTCCTTGCCATGCTGTGTCTCCTTTATCTGCCAAAAATCATGGGTGGTGAATAGTCTTACTGAAACTTGATATGCCACATTTTATTGACCAATATATTGAGTCCCAGTGCAAACTGACTTGACTTTTACCTACTTCCGCATGTGAATATATTTTTCTCAAGTTGTTAACTGGTCTTCGAGTACTAAAGTTTGGCTCATCTTTCTCTTGACTCCTGTATCAGAGTATCTCAGGAATCCATGCCTGGATCTAGGGAGGACTACATCTGAGCTCAAGATTCATTGTGCTTCTCTGAGTTCAGGTTTCTCTCCCAGTTGTAGCCTGATGAAGGTTGCAAAGACCAAGTTCTCTCCTCGAGTCTCTTTATTACATGTGGGAACTGGTAAAACTGGGTCTACCATAGAGAAGCCTGGCATTGAGAGGGACACTGATGACCATACAGGCCCAACTTAATATCAGTCTCTCAAAGAAGCAGCCAGCATCTCCTGTTAAACAAGAGCCGTTTATCCCTGTAGCTGAGCTCTGTGGTCACTGAGGTTGCTGGTATTTTACTCAAGGGAAACAGTGCAACTTCACTGTAAGCAAGGACAAACCAATCTGCAGGGGCGAACGCCACCAGTAGGGGACGCAATGGATCCAACAATCCTCAGTAGGGAGATGAGGTCGATGTGGAGGGGACTCTGTATCCTCTGTGGTTTCCTTTCTGGAGTCTACCAGCTCACCTGCACCTGCTGTTGTTGACTTGTGATGTTTCCATGCTCAAACTCAGTAAAGATTTTTTATTAATCTTTTTATGGGTTTATATTTTCTTGTTTATTTCAGTTACAGTTACAAATTTACAGAGGACATGAGGGGGCAGGAAGTTTGAATTGGGGGAAGAATAGAGGAGAGCAAGATAAGAGATACCATAATACAGAGAGCCATTATAGGTTTAAAGAGAAATCAGGCACTAGATAAATGTCTGCAGATCTACAATGATGACACCAATTAACAATCTAAGCAAAAGAGGAGAGGCTACCTTAAATGTCCTCCCCTGATATTGATTGATGAGATAATGAGATTGATAACTGACTTATACGCCATCATATAGCCTTCATCCAGCAGCTGGTGGGAGTGGAAGAAGACACCCACTGCTAAACACTGGACTGAACTGGAATCCAGTTGCAGAAAAGGAGGAGTGATGAGCAAAGGGACCAAGACCAGGCTGTTGAAACCAACAGAAAGAGCTGACCTGAACAAGGGGAAACTGGTTCCCAGACTGATTGGTAGGAAACCAGCATGGGACTGATCCAGACCCCATGAAAGTGGGTGTCAGTGAGGAGACATAGGAAATATATGGGGCCTTTTGTTGTAGATCACAGTACTTATCCCTAGCATAGGAATAGACTTTGGGAGCCCATCCCACATGGAAGGATACTCCCTGAGCCTAGACACAAAAGGCTGGGCATAGGCCCTACCTCAAAGAATATGATAGACTCTGAAGACCACCCTGGAAATCCTCCCCCTCCCTGGGGTACAGAAATGGTATGGGATACGTATGGTGTTAGTTGGGGGTGAAGGGTAGGAAGGGAGGCAAAGGGAACTGGGACTGACATGTAAAATAATCTTGTTTCTAATTTAAATAAAAATGGAGAGAAAAAATTTGTACAATGTATTCTTATTCCCCCCCTCCCTACTCCTCCTAGATCTTTCATGTTTCCTCTTCTACCTAACTCTATGCCTGTCTTTCTCTCTACAGGAAAAAACAAAAATATTTGAGGGAAGGGATTAACACCAAACAAAATGAAACAGTAAATACTCTTACACAAGCACACACAAAATCTAAAAACACAATTCTGTAACCATGATATACAGGCAACAGACAAATGAAACAAAAATGCACAATGTGATATGAGAGAAAACATTTTTAAAAATATCATTGTGTTCATTTAGTTTGGGCAGAGCCTGTCAAGTACTGATCACGTAAAGTTTTCTAATGGCAAACTTAGAACATCAGTTTGGTTGCTTGGCCCCACATGCTAGGGAATCAGAACTGAATCCAATAAGTTGTGCTCTGAGGATCACACATACACCTTGGTGCATGTCTTGCCTGTCCACACCACTGAAGACAGTATAACATTTTTTAAAACTATTTCATGCATGGGCAGAAACTCCCGAGGACCCACCCCCAGCTGAGAATCTATTGACATTGATGACAGATGAGGAAAATATGATCAGTTTTCTTTGGAAATTTTCTGGATGATTCTGGTGTACTAGTGAAAGACTCCATGTATGTGTATATGGATAGAAGCTATTGGAGTCATTGTCGCATTAGGTAATGAAACAAGAGAGGACATGGAGAAGGACAGAGACTAACTGGAAGGTCCCATGAGGAAATAATGGGGCATATTGTGTAGAGATATGATCATACTGTATTTTTCACATGGAATAAAATTCAAAAGTATATAAAATATGAAATTTTAAAATAACAATTTTACATTGTTTTAGAGTTTTCATACTCATGTATTTGGTACACTGTGTTATTTTTCCCCATCATCTCCATCCTTCATTCTCTTTCCCCTCCTAACTTACGTTTATTCAACTAGACAATTTCACTTATACTTTATCATGTGTTTGTATTCATAGTTGTATGTAAGCATGCAATATCTAAAAACTCCCAAGAGAGTATCATTTAATGTCTGATTCTAAGATGGCTTTAATTAGTACATTTACCTCTAGCTGCATCCATTTTTCTGTAACTTACATAAGTTCCATATTCCTTGTAGATGAATAACTTCTGTTGTGTTGTTTTTATAAACTTATCTTCGTGTTGAGATACTCTGTTGACTGATGCATAGTTTATTTCAATAATTTAGTTATTGTGATGCTGCTTCAATAATCAATGTGGCATAAATATTTCTGAAGTATATTTGCTTTGGTTTATTTGGGAGAGTTTTACTATATAATCTGTTGGAAAGGAAAATAATGACCTCATATATCTGAAAGGAGACTGTAAATTTCAAACTCAGCAGGTCTTACATTCCCCATCAGTGTCATCGTCATCATTATAGCCAACATCTGTAAATCAATGTGTTAACCTTGTCACACATTGGAGCCACTGCCTCAGGCCTGAAATCTATTGAGATCTTAGGTCCTGATGTTACTTCCTTAGCATCT